TCTTCCATTATTAGATGATCTCAATAAATGAATATTCAGTTATGGTATGATCTTAAGTTTGAGGTACTTCTGTCTTGTTCCTAACATTCTAAATTCACTATGCATGAATTTGGATGGAACCTCATCTAATGAGCAGTTTATCCTCCGTCAAGTTTTGAATTTTACTAAAAAAATACACATGCCAAAAAAAAAAAAATGACAATCTCAGATCTGTTACTCTAATTTTTTTTTTAAGGTGGGTTTATTAATAATTTTTCACATATTGATGGAAGCATTGAAAGCTTGTTATATTCTTGCACTGCATGTGATGATTTTATTTAGTTGAATAATTCCCAGTCGTTTAGATTTTTCAGTGATGATTTTGATACTTTGTTCCATCTTTTTCCTTGACTAGCTCACAAGAGCACAATTTCATTTTCTTGAATAAGCTCTTGTAAAAAAGTGTGAAAGATAAAACACAATAACAAATAAGGTTCAAGTATAATTGGTTATTATTGGTTAGTTCCATGATCCATCATATTTTATTAGTTCAATTTTCGGGCTTTCATGGATGTCCAATTTGGATACCAGAGCGGGATGACTTTGTAAGTATATTATAATAGATCTAGCTACAATACCAAATAATTATTTCTTATACTGTATCTTTTATTTTTTAGCACTCAAAAAAAAATAAAATCAAAATAAGAAACGTGTGAATATTTTATATTTATTATTTTACTTTACATTATTAGTTTCACAACCAATTCATAAATCAAAATAAATTTTTAAGAAGCAAAAATTTTCAAAATGGCCCCAAATCGATACTTGATAGCAGTGTGGTCAATTACGATAAGAAAAAGAGTAATACTATTGTGACTTAACAATTGATTTAATTTAATGATCTAAGTTACTAAGCGAAGATGCATTACTCTTGTACAAAAATGTCCAAATTTTTTCATTGGATTCTATAAAAACTTGGACTATTTTTTAAACTTGGTTTCGAACAATTTTCAAGTTTAACCTATATCTATTCTAAGGAGACTTCTTCAATCCCCAAAAATACTTTTTTCTCACAAAAATTAGTAGGTCATGCCATACTTTTTATTAAAATAATTATGTCATACTTTTGACAATTTGTTGTCATGAACTCTAAAATTTTATCAACTCTACCTTTAATTCCAATTTTTGAAAGTATCATTTACTTTATTCCTGATGAGTATACAATCAATTTTTATTTCATTAAAAGATCGTATTTTCTTGTATATTTTGGAAAACATCAATCATATTGCTGATTATGACAATGTTTCTACTCTTCATCATAAGTTTTTGGTTGCATTTGTTCTATAAGTTATACAATATTTCCATTCTCTAAAGATACAACATTGTTTCTTAATTAAATTACAAAACTATATTAAAAATATATAATTGATGTTTTTATGAGAAGGATAAAATTGAAACAAAACATAGTATTGATAAAGTTTAAGACTTCAAGGGAAAAAAATTATTAAAAGTATGACTTGATTGTACTACTAAAAATTTATAGGACTCGGTAGTTTTGTGAGAGGAAAAATGTGACTTATTAGTGATTTTTACAAAAAAAAAAACAATTGTCCAGTTTAACATTTTGAATTCATCGTATATATAATGCAGAAAAATCTATATAAATCATGCAAAAAAAATATTTATTGACTTTTGGAGAATATGACAAAAGAGGTTATTGACAAGCTTCATGAAGGTGGAATGCATATTAGCGGAGGAGAACAAACAGCTAATGATGTCTAGTTTGTAGAAGAATTGACCAATAAATTTTAACCTAATACCCTACTATTTCTTTTGTGGTACAACTGAGAAAATAAAAGACACATACATTTGAGTATCGAACAAAAAATCTATGGTGAAGTGACAAGTATACGTGACTAGAGTAAAATGAAATGTTTAAAATTTTATTAAAAAACTCTCTCCGTGCAATTAACAATCAACAGGAGTTTGCATAAAGTGGAATTGATTCATGAGATCCATGCAATTCTCCATCGGTGAATGTTTCTTTTACATAAAGCAAATTTATTAGCCTTGATTTTGTCTAGCTTGGTTGAATTGAAAATAGCAATGATATTATGATATGAGAACAAAAACATCCATAAGTAGGTAGCCGATATACTCTTCTAACCATTTCTCACCTCTATATATTTATTGAATTTTAGCAGGTTCCCTAAGCCAAAAGGAAACAAAACCCAAAGATAAAATCGAAAAAAAAATGAGCAAAAAAAAAAAAAAACCAATAAAAGAATATATGTCCAAGAATAAAGCATATTCATTTCCTATCATAGGCAATAGAAGAAATAAACAGAGCACAAGGTAAGATTAACAGTTGTAAATGAGACGATGATCGATGAACAGTGATTGGTGGCTTAATGGTCAGAGACATTTGGACTAGGAGTTCTAGATATTTTATTTATTGTTTCAACTAAATAAAAGTTCCAAAAAATAAACACATGGGTGTAGATTTTCTTCATGGGTTAATACATAGATGTGATATTTGTTCAGAAATTTATAAACTTCCTTAGATTATAAGCTAAATTTTGTTTAATTCTTTTCATCTTAGATTTTGGTTTTATTTGATCTAATCTTCGATGTTAAATTAGTTACATTATGAACTTATTTTAATTACATGGATGAATTATTGTTCAAATATTACTAAAAATAATTCACGTGCAAAGCACGTGTGCAATAACTAGTATCAGTAAATGACGTTTAAGCTTAACTAATAAGACAAAAACGGCTTTACTCGCTTCTTGCTTTTGAGTCCTTTTATTAATAAGCTGCTTGTTACAAATCACTCATTATTGCATTGGGGACAGGTACACGAACGACAACTCTAAACGTCAGACATCTGTTGCCTAACTACCGTTTTGGTGGCACCAGCGAGATCCAGGATTATTGTGCCCTTAACAAGATCACAATAAAAAATCGCTATCCTTTGCCAATGATAGATATCTAATTTCTATTTGACTAGTTGAAGGAGCCCGATACTTCACCAAGATAGACTTAAAGTCGGGATACCACCAAGTTGTGGAAGGCATTGGAAGACCGCGTTAAAGACAAGGCAAAGTTATATGAATGGATAGTCATGTCATTCGGCCCTATTACGGTAAGGTCAACGCACCTGCAACTTTTATGCGGCTGATGAACGATGTTCTAAGGTTTTTTTTCAGTATGCCGCTCCATAAGTAAGGAGTGTCACGCACGAGCAGAGCAAAAACAAAGCAAGGGGAATTCTTTTATTTTTGGGGGGGAAATCCTTTAATTGCGTATTGAATATAGATCCATGTCTTTTTTGTTCCACTATCTAAGACCAAATTATCACATGTCTATTCCGTTATTACAACCCTCTTTTTTAATGTCAAAGATCAGAAGCTACGCAAAAATTTTCATTGAATTCTTATTCCGCAAATTCTTACATTATTGGCTTCGTAACCCGTCCAACCTACCCATTTGCTACTTCTAATTCTATGCCTTGCAATTCTTTTGCTTACCCAAAAATTTTCTCTTACCAAGATAATAAAATGAGCAATGCTATTGAAATCTAATTTACTATAGTTTTTGGATTAACTGTGAGTTCTATTAAACATTAAAATTTAGTGTTGATCCAATAGTTCTACTGTAGTCACATTATTAAATCAAATAAGATTACTCATAATGAATAGAGCATGTGTTTTTCGTTACGATAGACTTAATTCGTTTAATTTAGATTTTCGTTGATATGCTCTTTCTTCACGCGGTATTAGTTTTTCTTTATGTCTAGTTAACCATCCCTATACCTTGATTGCAATGTCAAAATACATCAGCCAAGATCATTACTAACTTTGAATTTACTCAATTTGGGACGGAATTGACCTTCATAGGGGCCCAATGAGAATCATGGGGCTATATTTCATCTGCATTACTGTTGCAAGCCCAGTGCAAACATCGAGAAATTGAATCATGTTCACACGGAACACAAATTCTACTTTACACAAAATTTGAAAATAACACAATTAGTAGACATGAGTAATAACATGATTAATGGATACTATAGATAGAAAATAAGTATTTAACGAATATTGTAGACAAAAAAAATTAGAATTTTATATATTTTTTTAATTTTTTAAATAGTATTATATGAATTATTGTGAAATTAAATATTTTTTTATTAGCACGAACCCGACATGTACCAATAAATAAACTGACACAAAAATAACACAATCAAAATTGATAGAACACAAAAATAATATGACACGATTGACACCTTGCCTCCGATCCTGACAATAAAGTAAGCTTTTCGCATGTTAATGTGCCATTCATGTTTGTGATTTCCCCTCCATTATATTGAGTGCAATGTTCTTTGTCATTCCAAAATTTGTCTCAACTACTTTGATAAGGGAAAATGAGGTATCTACTGTTCTTGCTTATCTTCCTACTCTTGACAAAGTTAAAATCTCTTGACATATCTACCGTTCCATTTTGTGAACGTCCACTGAACTTCGATGGCCCAGACTTTATTCGCGTATATGAATTTGAAGAGCTACACCAACTCAAACTTGAAGAACCGAACCTCCAGATGTTTGTTCGTAACATGAATGATCTCACAGAGCTCAATCTAGATAATGTAGACCTCTCAGCTCAAGGTTCTAATCGGTCCAAAACCTTAGCTAATGCACTTCCTAGACTTCAGTCTTTGAGTTTGTCTTTCTGTCGTCTCTCAGGTTCTATTCATCCTTCCTTCTCGCAGCTCCAATCTCTATCCCACATTGACCTCGAGGGTAATGATCTGTCCTCTGAGGCACCCCATTTTTTTGCGAATTTCTCGAATTTGGTAACTCTCAGTCTAAGATCTTGTGATTTGCAAGGGAATTTTCCGGAAAATGTTTTGATACTGCCAAAACTACAAAGCATTGATCTTTCGGACAATTCACTCCTCACTGGTCATTTGCCAAAATTTCCCTTCAATAGTTCTTTGCGGCAGTTGAAACTGTATAACACAAACTTCCGTGGGAAATTGCCAGACTCAATTGGTAATCTCATGTTCTTGACTCATTTACTCCTCTCTTCTTCTAATTTCATTGGGTCGATCCCATCATTGCTTGCCAACCTCACCCTAATTGTTGAATTGGACCTTCGTGGCAATAGCTTCAGTGGTTCAATACCTCCATTCCATGCTAGCGCAGTCCCAAACCTTGAATTCCTTCGCTTATCTAGCAATCTTCTCAATGGAGTGATATATTCCTCGTTGTTTACTCTCCCATCGCTGCAAGGCTTATGTCTTGACAACAACCATTTCAGCGGTCAGCTTGAGGAGTTCTCAAATGCATCTTCTTCAGAGTTGAAATGTCTATATTTTAATGGAAATGATTTGAGTGGTCCAATACCAAAGTCAATCTCGAAACTCCCAAGACTTGTCTAACNATGGAAATGATTTGAGTGGTCCAATACCAAAGTCAATCTCGAAACTCCCAAGGCTTGTCTATCTCGAACTTGCTGCTAACAACTTTTACGGTACCATGAAGCTTGACATCTTCCAGAGCCTCAGAAACTTGAATTCTCTCGACCTCTCAGACAACAAATTGTCAATTGAAGGTGACAATGGTAGCTTTACGCTTCCCAATCTTGCCGCCTTGAAACTGAGTAGGTGCAACTTGACTGAAGTTCCAAAGTTCCTCAAAAATCAAGTTGGGTTAAAGACTCTGAACCTTTCCAACAACCAAATCCATGGCAGCGTTCCCAGTTGGATATGGAACAGCGGCAGTCTTTATGAGTTGGATCTTTCTCAGAATGCAGTTGATTTCCTTGAACAACCTCTTCTGGCTGACTCAAACCAGAGTAAAACGGTCATTGATGGCGGTAAAAACCCTTCCTCTTCAATTCTAGGCGTATTGGCCTTGCGCTCCTGCAACTTAAGTAGATTTCCAGATTTCCTGAAAAACCAAGATATTCTGTTTTACATCGACCTGTCAGATAACAAAATCAATGGCCGAACCCCCAGCTGGATATGGAAGAAGAACCTTCGTATCTAAATATTTCTCACAACTTCTTATACGCTTTGAATGAATTTCTTCCTAGTATGTCTACTCCACTGCAAACTCTTGATCTTCATGACAACGTGCTTGAAGGATCACTCCCTACAGCAATATGCAATTTGAGCAGCCTATCTATTTTTGATGCTTCTCAGAACAAACTAAGCGGCTTGATCCCGGAATGCCTAGATAAGATTGGCACTCTCTCTGTCTTGAACTTAAAAGGGAACAACTATCATCGTATCCCTCCTGATTTTGCTTTAGCAATGAATCTTCGTTCTCTGAATATCAATGACAATCAATTGGAGGGACCCCTTCCACGATCTTTAGCGAATTGCACAATGCTAGAGGTTTTGGATCTTGGCAACAACAAGATATCAGACACATTTCCATTCTGGTTGGATAAACTGCCTGAATTGAAAGTTCTTGTCTTGCGAGCCAATAGATTTCATGGGCAAATTGATCGTTATGGAGGTAAATTTGTTCTCTCCAACTTGAGGATAATGGACCTATCTTCCAATGAATTTACAGGTGAGCTGTCCAAGGACTTCTTCCAAAGTCTGAAGGCGATGGCTGCGACCAGTGGAAATAAATCAGAGCCGAAATATATAGGAGACTACGAATATTATCAAGATTCTGTGACAGTTATGAGCAAAGGAATCGAGATGGTACTCGTGAGGATCCTAAACATATTTGTTTCTCTTGATCTCTCCAACAATAAGTTCCATGGTGAAATCCCGGAACAGATAAAGGATCTCAAATCCCTTCTTGTGTTGAACTTTTCTCGGAACAATTTTGATAGCAACATTCCATCATCACTAGGGGACTTAGCTGAGCTTGAGTCACTGGATTTATCAAGAAATAAACTCTCTGGGACAATTCCTCAACAACTTACAAGCCTTACATTCTTGGCAGTGTTGGACCTCTCTTATAACCAACTATGGGGACATGTTCCTTTGGAATTGGAGCATATTGTCCTCAACTTCCACAGACCGGATTGAAGTGTTCCTTTGGAATTGGGTTTTATTTTTCTGGTGTTGAATTTTCAATTTTTTTCTTAAAATTTGAGTTAGAGAATTTGAAAATATTATTGCTATTGTATAATTTTGGTTGTGTCAATTCAGATCAGCAGTTTTGGGCTGCTGCCCACAATTTTCACCATAACAAGGCCATCCATCATCACCTCGTTCAATTGGCAAGGGCATTGCATGCTCTAAAAGGATTCTGCAGTTCTTCTCAGTTGTTCATAAGTCAATACTAAGTTGTTGTTGAATGTTAGGCTTAGTCAACTTTTTCTCAATATTAATATTATTGTGACATAATTTGAGAATATAATGAAGTGTGACCGATAAATGAAAATAAAATACATTTAATGATGAGACTCATTGTAGCTTAGCTCTACTATTACTTCATTAGTCACAATACATTGTCTCTAAATTATGTTCTTAAATTATATCTCAATAGTATTGCTCTTTTCTAGATGCTATTTGGTTCCAGTTCCATATAGTGTAGGTGCCAACAATAGAACTGGATTATTTTTTGCATTCAAAAAAAGTCCAAGAAAAAGATTTGTCACCCAGCAGAGATTATTTTTCATCAGTTGCAGTTTAGAAATCAAATGGAGGTGAAAAAAATAAAGGGAGAATTGCACTTTGTTATCTTCTAAGATTTAAGAATTTTTATTTTATATCCGTAAAGATTAAATTTTTCACATTGCATTCTCAATGTATCAAAAGTGTTACAATGTGGATCTTGTATTAGATGCCGTTATTTTTTTCTTTCAGTGTCAATAGGGTGATATTTGACGGAAAAAATAATGAAAACTAACACAAGGGTCACATTTCAACACTTTTAGATACATTGAGAGTACAATATAAATTTTTTTATCTTTAAAGATATAAAATAAGAATTTTTAAATCTTTCGAAATACAAATCGCAATTCACCCACAAACAAAATTTGCCGACAGTTAGAGAGAAATGTTATGTGAAAGCAACTTGAATATTTGACTTCTCTCAATTCAAGATGCTCTTGGAAACAAAAAAAACAAGCTATTACAACAAAGACTATTCTTTTTGTGATAGGAACAACAAAGTTTACCATTAGCTAGTTGCAATTTAGTGGTATGCTTACCAAATTATTTATCAAATTTTGCATCTTAAATTAGTGTGAATGGTTGGATAAGTGGAATCCACTAACTCTTGTGACGCCCCAAAATTTGGGGTATTTTCTCAACTCGTTGGTTACCTATTAATCCGCAAAAGTATACTCATGAGTATTGCATAACTCAATACCACGTCATTACACCCCATTCACGGGAATAATAACCAAAACGATTTTTAGGCAGAGTCTCCTTTGTATAGGAGCCCTACCCAATTCGTAACTTGGGCATGCAATAATCATAGGACCATTTCAATGTCCAAACCCCAATAATTTGGCTTATTATTATCCATTCATATCATCCAAGGAAGAACGCTTAATATGTGAAAGCCACTCAATGTTACATTTTTAAAATTCTAAATTTTGGGAAGAGGTACCAGTATTTCGTGTAAGTGGTACCGGTACCTGGGTCTTTTGTTCGCCAGGTTGAAAAAAAGGGATGGTAAGGGTGTTGTAAAAAATGTGACTGACACTAATAGAATTTTAAGAACTATATATTCTTTTGTGTCTCCTAGAGTAGCAGTGTGATTAGGTGTGGAACCCAAAACACTTGAGTTTGATTTGATCATGACAACTTCTATGGGTGATTTTGAGTGAGGAGATATCGTGCACCCAAGGTGTAGGGTCCATATTAAAGAACATCAGTTACTAGTTTATTGAGTATTTTTAGACCTTAGGGGTTTTGATATGATATTAATTATGGACTGGTTAGTCACACAACATACGAAGTTGGCTGTTGTGAAAAGGAGAGTCATGTGGATTTAGTTTCAAGGGGACAAAAATTATTTAATCTCCAGTTTTAAATCTATGAGTGCAAGCTCGAAAACGAGTAAAGATTTTTAGGGAAACATTGGTAGTATTATTGATACACAAAGTGAGTGAGTGTCTCCTGAATAGATAATAATAGAAAGAGAATTTTTGGATGTATTTCAAGAAAAGTTGTCTATGCTACCATTAGAGAGAGATAAAGATTACATTTGTAGTAGCTCTGGGGTACTTTACTTATATTTATTATTCCGTATTGAATGGTTCTCGTTGAACTAGAAATGAGAATTCAATTGATAATATATTAGACCAAAGATTTATTCAACTTAGTAGTTTGTTGTGGGGGTGCTCATATTATGTTTGTAAAAAAAAATGATTGGACTGTAAAATGGTACATTAATTACTACCAGCAGAATGAGGCAGCAACAAATGTTAAATATCTTTTATGTAGTATTGAAGATTTATTTGATTAATTTTAAGTGGTTAGAGTATTTAATAAGATTGATGTTGGATTGATTTAGTCTAATCAAAAGAAAGAAGTGGTGGTGTTTTAAAAATTATTTGTTGAACTGGGATAATTATATTGTATTTTTTTTTTTTTGAGAAGTCATTGAGGTTGACAAATGCTACATCTGTTTTTATGGATTGACTAAATTGGGTATCTTAACCTTTCCTTGATTCATTTGTTACTTTATTAGTTGGTGTTACACATGTGTATTCTCGTAGTAAGGAAAGAATTACCCTACTCATGATTTTGAGTTAGACATAATTTTTTTTGCTTTGAAGTTATGGAGAGATTGTTTAAATGGTAAGACATGTGATATTTACTTCGATTACCAAAGATTGAAAGATTTCTTTACTGAGATGAAGTTTAATTTGAGAAAAATGAGATGGATGGAAAGTATAGGGACCATGATTATTCTATCATTATCATGTAGGCAAAGTTACTGTAGTGGTTCATACATTAAGTAAGAAATCATTAAGAAGTTTGTGTTGTATTGTATTGAGTATACCCGAATAAGTAATTTTATTGATTTGAGATTGATAAAAGTACATGTGATGTTGACTGGTACAAATATATTATTAGCTTAATTGCAAGTTAGACTCTTATTGATAAATTGTATCAACTAGCAAAAAAAAAAAAGTACACACGTGCAGAGTATTTGAAAAGAGGTGTAACATGATAGTAGGATATATTTTGTAACTTGTGCTGAGGTTATGTTTATATTTTGACATGAGTTATGGGTACCAAAAGAAAATACATTGAAGAGAGACATTATAGATACAACCTAAAATTCTATGTTTATCCGAGGAGTACAAAATTATATTGATATTGAGAATTTATTATTGGTTGAGTGGAAAGTGAGATTGTTGAATTTGTAGCCAATGTGTAATGCATTGACAAATCAATACTGAATATCAGTATCTTACAAGTTTATTACAACTTATTTAAATTTTTGAATGAAAATGGGAGTATATTATTATGAATTTTCTATAATGACTTTCAAGATATAGATTGTGCATGAATATATTTTGGATTATTGTGGATTAATTGACAAAATTATTTGGTAAAGATGTTTCATTTTCATAGCATACTTTATGTTGGTATGCTTAGGAAGTATATATACCTGATTCTTCATGTATATTGATGTGAGCAATCTATTGAGCTTAAGGAAACTCTTAATTATGTTGAGGAGTCAATTAATATTGGGTAACAAGAGGATTTCATTAGTCAATGTATTGTAGAAGAGTTACTCAGGCAAGGAAGTTACTTGTGAAGTAGATAAAAGGATGGAAATTTAATATCCTCATTTGTTCTCACAAGGTATATAAATTTTGAGGACGAAACTCTCTTAAAGAGGGGAGAATGTATATATATATATATTATACAAAATCAAATCACAAACATAGAGAAAAGATAAAGAAATTTAAACATCGATTTATAGTGGGTGTGAGAGATAGTGGGCGACAGTGGTGGTGGTAGGAAAAGGTGATGGTTATGGTGGGTGGCAATGACCGTGATGGTGGCGGCGACGGTGGTGGTGGGGGTAGAGGGGTGGCGGCGGCAGTGGTGGTG